CGAAGTCTAAAGTTCATCAAATATCGCGGGCGTGGGTCACCAACCGTGAGTGGTCATCCTCACTGATCTCAAAAATATGGCGGACTGTCATGAATAGCAAACACTGTGATTGATCCAATTTAAAGTTTGCATTATAACGACTGCATGACGACAGCGAAATAGCAAACATTTCTTTATTTGATGATTGATAAATTTCTTGCAAATATATTTCATTTTTGCTCGCATATTTGCAAGATTTTGTAAATTTCAAGAAAGAAATGGCGAAAGAATCGGCAAAAAGAAGGGAGCCGACGTTAACGAAGGTAAGTTTGTTTTCAAAATATTGATTTTATAATTGCTTTAAAACCCGACGGCCTTTGCGTATATGAAACAACTAAACAAGACAGCATATCGGGCCCCAATTCAGTGTATCTTTAATATTGATTCCCTTTTTTAATATATTGAATTTCTTTAAATAAAAGAGAAAGCAAAGTTATTTGCATGCTAGAATTTGAATTCATTTTATTGCAAACTCAAAGTTTATCGATAAAGCCATTTAATTAAAGAATAAAGGCAGTTTAGTTTTATAAAGAACACTTTAAAACGTTTTGCGAAGCGTTTGTGGTTGATTTTTACCTTAAATTGAAGCTTATATTACGTATAATATCATACCTAACATATATATGTTGGGAAATTGATAATTTTGTAACTAGTCTAGGACCTGTATATGAGTTTGTATGCGATTCATTTAGGACAGGTAATCTCAACTGTTTTAGGGTAAAATGACCATGGCGGTCAACATGGCATATGTGCCAAAACCTGAATCCGGGACGAAAGTCCTGAAAATGACCCCGCCCTGAAACGGCAGTGTCGACATAGCTCTAACTTTCAAAAAGGAAAAGCGATAGCCTTTCTGAATTGCTTATAGTGTTTAGAAGGGTTGCTTTTAGGGGTGGTCATTGGAAGGAAAAATTTGTCGAAGTACAATATTTTACCAGAAAATGACTATGCACCACCCCAGGTAAATTGCTGATTATGCACAAAATAACTAATATGCCTGGCAGAAATTAAATATTCTTATTTCCTAAAAAAAATTATCATGGGGTGAAAAACTATGCTTAATTTAATATAAATATTGTTGATTTCATAAGGATTGGCATTGTTTTCTTTAAATATAATACATTTTATTTCACTTACCCCCCACGAAAACACAATTTCAGCCATATTTTGCCGTCTTGTTTGCTTTTTATCGCCGAATCTCGCAAATATCATCCAGTTATTGTACTTTTACATAATCATAAATGGCTGAAGAAGATTTCAAAGAAGGTTTCATCCACTTTTGTAACAGTGCAGTGTATTTTACCTTCGATATTGTGTCCTTCGATATCCCGCCAAATTGCCGCCATTTTAATGGCTCGCCGCTTCTCTGTCTGATAAATGCAACTTCTTCGTTTCCATATGTATTTAGATTACAGTATCCAAGAGTACTTCATTGTAGAATAGTTCCAATCCAGAAATTGGCAATATTTGTCCCATTAGGAAGGAAAAATCCTCCCGTATACCATTTAGGTTCAAAATAAAAAACAAATCATTTGAAATTGTATTTTTATGATTTATAACAAAACTATGCAAATATTTATTGTTTTTATTATAAATCATAAAAATACAATAAATACAATATATTTAGTTATGTTTCGGTGGTGGAAAACATATTCGTGAAAATATTCCACCCCCCCTGTCATGTGTCCACGAGAAGTTTTCCCGAAGATTGCGCGTGACTTTCAAATGATTTGTTTTTTATTTTGAACCTAAATGGTATACGGGAGGATTTTTCCTTCCTAATGGGACAAATCTTGCCAATTTTTGGATTGGGACTATTCGACAATGAAGTACCCTTGGATACTGTAATCTAAATACATATGGAAACGAAGAAGTTGCATTTATCAGACAGAGAAGCGGCGAGCCATTAAAATGGCGGCAATTTGGCGGAATATCGAAGGACACAATATCGAAGGTAAAATACACTGCACTGTTACAAAAGTGGATGAAACCTTCTTTGAAATCTTCTTCAGCCATTTATAATTATGTAAAAGTACGATAACTGGATGATATTTGCGAGATTCGGCGATAAAAAGCAAACAAGACGGCAAAATATGGCTGAAATCGTGTTTTCGTGGGGGGTAAGTGAAATAAAATGTATTATATTTAAAGAAAACAATGACAATCCTTATGAAATCAACAATATTTATATTAAATTAAGCATAGTTTTTCACCCCATGATATTTTTTTTTAGGAAATAAGAATATTTAATTTCTGCCAGGCATATTAGTTATTTTGTGCATAATCAGCAATTTACCTGGGGTGGTGCATAGTCATTTTCTGGTAAAATATTATACTTACACAAATTTTTCCTTCCAATAACCACCCCTAAAAGCAACCCTTCTAAACACTATAAGCAATTCAGAAAGGCTATCGCTTTTCCTTTTTGGAAGTTAGAGCTATGTCGACACTGCCGTTTCAGGGCAGGGTCATTTTCAGGACTTTCGTCCCGGATTCAGGTTTTGGCACATATGCCATGTTGACCGCCATGGTCATTTTACCCTAAAACAGTTGAGATTACCTGTCCTAAATGAATCGCATACAAACTCATATACAGGTCCTAGACTAAATTACAAGTGATATTTTTAGGCGATTTTTCATTTGTAAGAATATTCTTAAAAAATTATCGTGTTACCATGACTACTTTAGATACTTCATGTTCGGAAAATACAATGGTTTTGTCAGCAAAGTGAGGGTTTCTGTATGCATGTATTTTCTAGTAGTAGACGTTTCTTGTTTTGTTAGGAAACTTCACAGCTCACGTCGACGTACACGGCTTTTGAGCTTTGTAACCGGCCGAGGCAGAAGTAAATCATGCAGTCGGGAAAACGTCTTACTTTGAAAGATTATTTTGCAAAACATTCTCATACACACAAGTACCATAAAAATACAAATGTTGAATTGTTATTGTCAACTGTCAAGTTCAGTTATTTTTAGACAATATCGTGTTAGCCAATCAGAATGCAAAATCAGACCGGCCCAGACCAGGGCTTTCTCGTCTCTCCCCTCGTCCTCACATGAAAGCCCTGGGAACGAGGTTGTTGTCAATGTGATCGGAATTGTCAAAGTTGTCGACGGGGGGAGAGATTTAAAATGTCGTCTTCCGGAAAATTTTTCGGTTTGTCGGAAAATTTTTTCGGTTTGTCGGAAAAGTACTGCCCTTGCCCCCCCCCCCAAAAAAAAACAAAAACCATGGGACCCACGGTACTACTGCTTCGGCTACGGAGCCTCGTTTTCGTATAACTGGCATGAATGTCTCAATCATGAAAATAAGACTCTATAGCCAAGTTGACATACTTTCTAGAAGCATGTATTAAAAAAAGTAGTTCAAAACTAATCAAGCTTTAATGTACTGTTTAATAAACGAGCAGGAGTGTTTTATTAGGTTTAAAGCTACGAGCGCGCAGCGCGAGTGGCTGTACACCTAATAAAACACGACCTGCGAGTTTATTAAACGGCTTCAAACACGACTACAAATTCAATAGATATACTGCCTTATTAGTATTCTTTATATAAAGAATACTATCTTTATATAAAGAATACTAATGATGGCACGACTACAATAGATACTGCCTTATTAGTATTCTTTATATAAAGAATACTAATTAGAGGTGTTTCATCAGGTTTAAAGCCACTGCAGGTGACATATTATGGTTGACATGATTTGCCAATAAGCTTATGAATTATTAATGAGTGTTTGAATGTATGTTCAGATGTGGCTTGGTACTGTATTTTGCCACCCAGAAAGGAGTGTGTCATTGTGGAATAAATCTGCAATAAACAAGAACAGATTAATTATACAGGTTGTACAATTGTCCACTACAGTAACATAATTAGCATATGATCAAGGTAAGCAAAAGAATGTGACCTAACTCCTCAGCTTAAACCAGGGGTATCAGAACTTGATGAGTGCACTTATAAAGGTACATTGTTTATTCAGAGTGATATTTACTGAGAAAACCTGTACGAAAACAGGCCATCCTGGGAATGAGGTATGATCACACATGCATGCCTTGGCACACACCTCAGCTAAACCTTGTTACCTCAGCTTAGGGGAAAGTGTGATTTATCTCAAACCTCTATGACACAAAAATCAAGAACTATCCCCAACCAGAAAACTAGGTGGAAACTACCTTCCAGGATCAGCTTCTTGCACCCCCAGCTTATATACATATAAAGTGGTACATAACACAAAACTTATTCCCTCTTTTAAAAGATAGTCTTGCGATTGCGAATCACAGCATGCTAAAATAGTGGAAAGTTTCACACTTTACCATGTGTATTGCACTGTACGAAGTTGTTTTATTAACAAATAGAGTGTCAGTTTCATCGTTATGCTTATCATTTTCATGTCAAATAAGATAAAGTGTAAATAAAATTGAATATGAAAATTCGTCTCTTACCCTTTGTAAATCCATATTCAAGTATCGTCTTTTCCCACATTTCTTGAGGTTTTAAAATTTGTTTGTCGTCTTTCACGGACGAGAGTAAACACGTACGACTTGCATATCTTTGTCCAAATAATCAAAGGTAAAAAATTTATCTCGAAAACATTTTAAAAAAGGATTCAAAACAACGAGAACTATATTATCTGAAAAACTGTTTTGTAAAAACCAGGGTGTGTGTGTGTGTGTGAAAACTTCCGTGGGCTCACAATTGAGCCTGGTCAGTGGTAACTACCATGAAAATAAAGTAAGTGTTGTCATGGAAATGGCGTCATTTTCACTCAAAATCCGCCATGTTTTTGCGGACACTTCGTTGACTAAACGAAGTATAGGAGCAGGTCCTCCAGTTATTTTACAGCTCAGTGACTGTACTATATGTCTGACTGGTTTCGCTTAAATCATAAATATCCAGTTTTGAAACCTATCTAACTTTTGGTGTACTATAAAATATTCTTAACAACGTAGAATAGGACCTACTTGAAGATTTCGTCTTCCGTGAAAGTGGTTTATTATCAAGATTCGATCCACCCTGACTTGAATTTTTTACCAGTCCCGCCATGTATCGGTTTCCCTTTTCATCCCTGTACTCGAATGGAATATCGCCGATACACGTCCCATTTTCATCAAAGACATGCACTGTGATCGGATGTGTACCACTTCGTCTCGCGGCTTAAAAGATTAACAATTGTAATGTTTCGTTTAAAATGTTACCTTTTTAATTGAGAACTTTTCTAATATTCCTGGGAGTTTTGGAACCTCAGCTAAGGAACTGGCTTATTTGTGTTAAAATTACAGTCTATCAGTACCAAAAGAAATAATCGAACGCTTATATTTTGGAGGCGGAAGACAAAAGAAATTAAGATACAACGAAAATTTATGCAAAGAAAAAATAGGAAACAGATTTCAATGCAACTTACCAGGAATATTGTCACAACCGTCGAGATGTTTGCTGCCAGATCCTCGTGCTTTACAAGTGCCATAATTATCAAATTGAATGCTGTATGTTTCTTCACGTAGATCTCTATTTGCACGTACTATAAATGGGACTCCTCCCTGTAATTAAAACAGAAATTTTCAATGCTAATTCTCTTACTAAACGACAGACCAGTCAAATACAATGTACAGCAACAAGTGATGATCCCAGTGAGAATTGCAATTGAAGGGGAAATACCAATGTGCAAAAAAAGAGCCTAAACACAATACACAAGTTTCATTTCAAAATTTTCATGTTTTGTCAAAAGTCAGAACCATTGATGTTATGGAAGGAAATAATCAATATCTACCTTACATTAACGTGTGCCCAAATATCCATTATTAGGCTTTTAGTAATATTTACTTGCACGAGCATTTCAGCTGCTCTCAAGCAAACATCTTCTGTGTTATTTTATTTTTAGCCTAAAATTTGGTGTATAAGTAATAATGTTTCGTAACAATACACCCCTCGGTTCCAAACACACAAACCTCCAGTCTGCAATAGTTGGGAAAGATTGTTAATTCTGGATTCTTCTCGTCGACAGCTTAAAAATACATAAAAAATATTACCAAAACAATTAAAGTGAGCGTCTTTTCATTTACTTGTTATTATTACACACAACAAACAAAAAGTCTTTGTAGAGGCAGTATAAGCGTATAATCAACCACGTTCTTCACCTGTCGATAACGGTGGTGGTCGCTGAGAAGTCTTATTTTCACTTGTTAGTAGATTCATCTAAATAAAAACAAAATTATATATTAATTTGCATCAATAGAACCCCCATTAGCCATAATATGTAGGCATGCATGTATAATCATAATGCCATTCTAAATATTGCCTTTATCTATTTGTTTCAATTCAGAAATTAATACAAGTGTATGGTTTTGATCTGACGTCACTGACGTCATATTGGTGACAAGGCATGCATGCAGTGTGCCATGATTCAAGTGTTTCTCTGTGCTGATAGTTGCCTTTGCCAATTATTTCCCGCTATTAAAATCTATTTATGGTTGTTTGTCCAAGCGTGATTAGCGATATATGAACCACTTTTATAGAACTCTACATTTCTCCTGTGTTCCTTTCGCCTAAGAAAGCATCTGTCATGTGTTTGCGCTCCTGTTGTTTCCCTTCATTTTAATTGTGTTGGGTAAATTTGCTGCCTTGTGTAGTAGTAGAGTTTGTGCAGTGCTAACCACACCACGACAAACAGCACACTATTATGAATTTGGTTTATATCATTGTGTTCACATTACATATATTCAACTTTTGAAGGGGGTCCAAATCCGCCAACGGGGGTCCGTATTTACTGGTAGATTTAGACCCCGGGGTCTATATCCACTAGTAGATTTGGACCCGGGGGTCAAATCTACGGGAGGTTCAAATCAACCGGACCCCCGACATGTATGTTTATATAGTCAACATGCTGTACCTGATCAAAGTCAAAGACTATGGGCTCATCAAATTCGTCTATATAAAATATATTAGATAGTGTGATGATACGTCATTTAGTATAGTTTTATGGGCTCTTACCCAGTCTACCAGACCTATATAAACACTCGGACGCAGAATTTGAGTTATATATTTGCAATCAATCGTTTGGAGTTCAATTAATAGTTTGGAGTTTACATTTACTGCAATTTAATCGTTTTGGAGTTAACTGTAGGAGATATCGGACTATTGGAGTATATAAGTTTGCTATCCCGCAAGGACGTAAGTGAATACTTTAGTTTATATGTACTATGTGTTATGTTTCGTAATCGATTTGTGTAAATAGCTTAAGATATTGTTTGTTATGTTATGTAGTTTTTAC